TAACTCGAGCGTCGAATATAAGCAAATTCCTACAGAATTCCTATAACTTTAATCCTCAGGGATTTAACAATTAATACGGCTACATTAGAATATATAAGTTTTTTGTTGCAAATGAAAATTCATTTTATGTAATATTCATCAATCAGACTCCTGTTCTAATTCTTCGTCATCACTCTCCACAGGCATGTAGATATCTTGCTTTCTCTTTGGACAACAATTCAGTTGAACGACTACCAATATAAGAATTACCACACCAAGACTTATGACAGCCAAACCAAGGAAAGTCGTTGGAGCACCAACAGCTTCCATCAACACTCCGCCTAACATACCTCCTCCGCCATAACCAACTCCCCAGTACAGCATGTGCGCTACAGCTGCCAAGGTTGACCCGTTGTAACAACTATCTCCGACGTAAGACATCGCCCCAGCCCAAACAGCTGAAGATGTGAATGCTTTGAGGAACTCCACAGTCAAGACTAGCCAAGGATTTTCAACCACTCCGTATACGGTCAAACGAACCGCATAAGCAAAAATACCCAAAGCCAATACCTTCAAATGGCCATACTTTGAAATGAGCTTCACGGATAACAGGAACCCAATCATTTCGCCAACTGCGTTAAAACCAAGAATCAAACTAAAGAGAGTTTGAGATCCACCCAATGACTGTAAATACCAAAACAGAAAAGTCTGAATAAAACCCATATTAAAACCGGCCAGTAAGACTGTGAAGAAAACAAACAGTGTGAGGCAATCAAGTTGTTGACAAACTTGAACTAAATGAGCGCGAGTTTCATGTGGATTAACTTCCGTTGGGTTTTGGAATTTGAAAGGTATTGCGACGACCAATGCGCAGAGCATCAAGAAGCCAAACGCGTAGAAACAAGGACTGTAATTGATATCATCAATTCCATCACAAGCAAGTGAGCTGTCGTGGTTCATACTCACTAACATTCCCACGACAAATGCTGACACACCCCAACCTATCGAGCCGAAACATCGCTGCCCGCCGTACTTGTACGTATCATCACCGAGAACCTGAAGTGTTGCGGTGTTTGCCATGGTTTGTGCGGGGGCCGCGAACAAATTCCCAATCAAAATTACTAAGAAAAGGTAAGTGAAAGTATGCCAGGTACCGAGAGGTTCATGCATACTACTTAAAGTCCACCAGGACCCTTTTCCATTGTCATTGTTCTTCGAATCTAAGTTGGATTCATCTTTGTCAGCCAAATTAGGTTGAACTGTATCTTTCGTTTTAATCTCGGAAGAAATGTTCATTGAGTTTTGTGATGATGACTTGTTTGGAAATTGTTTACGAGAGAATCTTACTTGGTCGCTTGGGTTCTCCTGCTCGAATAACTTCATGTCGGACGCAGCCGAGTCGTAACTGAGACTGTCTCGTGGGTTTTGGTTACGTTGTTTGCGGGTGATATCATTAAGAGAGGCATAGCTAATGTCCACGGGGTTATAATCGAGAATTTCTTGCGGGTATGGATTATATTCCTCGCCGGGAATATTGTTGGGCAAGGGATCATAGCTGAAGTCAACGGATCGCTTTGTCACGTGCGTTGAGTTCTCGACACAACTCAACGGTTTTTTACCAGCTGGAACAAGAAGAATGCTGGTATGCGCGAACAACCAGCCACATAAGCCAATGAAGAGGACTATTTTCTTTGCATTGAACCTGTCAGCGAATAGTGCCCAAAATGGTGTAGTAATAGACTGTATGATTGGTCTTAAGCCAACCAACAGTCCTGCTTGTGTAGGCGACAGCCACAGATGTCTGAAGTAAAGTGCGATGAAAGGAAAAAGGGAACCGATTGCGCCATAGAAGAAGTAATAGAAAGCTTTAAATGGCAATAAAGTTCGGTTTATATTTGAGCAAGGTGATGACTTCTCCTCGCTGTCTCTGCTGTTCACGGATTCATACAGAGGAGGTAATTCCTGTTCGGAAGCTTCTATGTATGGTCGCCCCTCGCTTGGATCCATCAATCTTTGCTTAATGGTCTAGAGACGATCTGTATTGAAAAAATAACAATAAGTTAACATTAACAACCATCTCATCATGCACGTTGATGATACATAAAATTAAAGACACATATCATACCCTATTTCATTATAATGAGCAAAATCAAAATAGTGGTAATTGAGCTGAGTGGAATACTGAAATCAAGCTGAAATCAAACGTGTGATTAAAAAATCGCATGATCACAAAGCGAAATCTAACACAGTTTCGCAAACTGGAATTTTTTTTTACAAAAGACCAGACCACACCAACTCCCTCCACCCCCTCCCACCATCCCCTGTGATATTTTCAATGTCGTAGCGTAGCAACAAGTGGACAATACTGAACTTTAAGTTTTTTTCAAATTGTATTTATACGTTCGAACAACCGGGAAAATTTTAAAGAAGTTAAAGCATTTATGAAGAATAAAAGAAAACAAAAGTAAGTTTAAGCACATTACGTAATTGATAGGTAGATGACGTTTTATCTGCTGGATACAAGCACAGGTTTAGTCAGATTACTCTCAAATTTTCAATATAAATATATTCGCTATTTGCTAGGCTACACCTTGGTATAACAAGAAGTTGTCGTATTCCATTGGGTTCGAAAGATATACCAACAAATATGTGAAGAAATCGAGGTAAATTTAGAGATTTGAAAGCATTTATTCGCGATTTTCTTGGCGTGTGTAACGCAAAGATAAACCGAATTCGAAATCGGAATATAGCATTTTGACATTTGATCGAATGACGAGAACGAGTTTAAATAATGTTATTTATTCTGGCAGTTTTTGTCTTGTATGTAAAGCATATAAAGCTAGTTAACCGTTTGGAAAATAATTTTTTTTAGCAATATTTCATACCTATAATTTGTGCAGAGATAAAATATAAAAGAATGTGCAGAGATAAAATATAAAATGTGCAGATAAAATTTGCGCGCTGTGATAAGTTGTTAATTAACAAGAAAATGAGGCCATGAGAACAAAAACTAAACTAGAAATTCGTCTTGACACTGGACAGTATTAATCAAAACAATTTCAATGAGAATAATTTGAATGAAATTGAAATGACAACTGCCAAATTATCGAACCATCAGATGAACAAAGTCTCTCCCCAAAGATCTCTTTATGAACTTGGATGGAGTCTAGATTACAAACTATTCTGTTTTCTATGGGAGCATGCCCCTGGAACTCCTCCAGAGGTTTGTCATGCCCAAGTCAGCTTTCATTTGCCAAGACGAGAATATTTCTTTTCTGCAAGCATGCAATTATGAAATTATGCCGTCATACTAGATAGTTGTAACTGTAGATGCTGCAAGGCCGCCCAGAGGGGAGGAGGGGGCAATTTGCCCTGGGACCCCAGTTAACTGTCAACTAGACTTCCAGGATTTGTCCATTTCTGGAACCTCAGATTTCAAACGGGGAGAATGCCCCGGACGGAGAATGGCCCGGACCCCCTAATCATAGTGGTAGAAGATGGAATGGGGGATAGAAGGACCCCAAGTTAAAATTTGCACTGGGCCTCCGAATTTCCCTAGGCGACCCTGGATGCTGTGCAGTTCATGTTGGTTTTGGCATTTTTGAATATCGATTGTAGCCTGTTTTGTGGTTACACATTATTGACGTGCTTCTGCTCGGATAAATTTAACTTTGCACAAAAATGTGCAGTGATAAAAAAATGTTAAACTTAGGTATGCAACGTTTTCACATGCATGATGATTGAACAGTCCTTCATATTTCAATGCTTTCATGATCATGCGCATAATTATGCACATTTTAATTCTTCCAGTCTCAGCTACTTGGTATGGTTCAACTGCAATTTATCCCGACGCAGAACGGATTGAGGACCGCCCCAGATTAAAGCCGGTTACAGACGAGCAAGCTCTCTATGACAAGTTTTTTATGTGACAAGTTTTATTTGCCAAGTACACGTGTGTATATGCAACAAATTTTATATGACAAGCTTTCATATGATAAGATTTATTTACTGGTGTAAACGTGTCAGAAAAAGGTGTTTATCGCCGCCATGACAGAAAAATTATAATAGTCCGATGGCCAATCACATCAAATACTCAGATTACTTTGACAAGTTTTCTTTGTTGACCCATACAGACGAACAAAATTTGTACTTTGACAATTTTTTCTATGACAAGTACACTTGTTCGAACAAGTGCACTTGTCATAGAAAAACTTGTCAAAGTTGCGGGTACAGACGAGCAAATAAAACTTGTCACATAAAAACTTTGTCATAGAAAACTTGCTCGTCTGTAACCAGCTTAAACACGGCATATGAGAGAAAAAGTGTTAAATCGAATAAACGCCGCACTTTATTCACAACAATGCGGCGCTTTAATCGAAGCCGTCTGAAAAATTGTTCCCGATCCCCAACCGTGAAAGGAAAACGCCTTGGATACGAAGTCGAAATGTTTAGCAAACCTCGAAACGTTTCTCTCCTGCATTTCAACGTTTTTATGTTATATTTTTTGTTGCTAATATTTCTTGTTATCGCTTCCAAATAATTTAAAATTTAACCTGAAATTTAACCTGAACAGATGTGTTCTCATGGTAGCTCCTCTTTATTTTTTATCGATTGGCTTTATATCTTTATCGTTTGGCGATAATCATAAGCATACTGAACAAGTTAAAGTACGACGGAGAATTCTATCGCTGGTGTGGTTCCTTGAATGATTTAAAATGTTTTGTCAAAAATATTTTGGATATTAAAGGAAAGTGGAGTTGGCCTGACGACGATGCGAAGCTCTTTCGTGTTAGCAAGTCTGAACTTGGCATTGAATGGCGTGGCCCTCGGTTACAAAAGCTTGTTGTTCAAGCGGATAATCCTGAACAGTTTTAACATAGACGTTCGACCACCAAGACTTCTAGCATGCTTGAATTTGACTTTGCCTTAACTTACTGCAGTGGCTGATCAATCTATTTCCATCCGTAAGTCAGGTAAGTGGTTTTTAAGGCAGGAAAATGCGTAAAGGCGTTTTGAAGCATGGCTGAAATAGTGAAATACGTGAAAAGTCTTGCTGATGCTGTCCAGGGGGATAAAGTACAAACCAGTGCAACTGAGGTACCTAAATACTGTTTTTCAATTGTACTGACAGGAGTCTTCAGTGAATTTGAGGGTGTAAATTGGACGTACTTGATTATTTGGAATCCCGAATGCCCATTGCAAACTGTCAAAATAAGTTGGAGTCAGAAATTAATTCTCTCCTTGTTTAACAGAAAGAAAGGAATTTTCGTCGTCAAGACGAAATAATCTTAATAAGGATAATCAATCTTCTAAGTCACAATTGTCGTCCTTTACAAAATCATTACTTAGTGGAGCCCCTATAAACTTCAAGAACAAAGACCCCGGCTCAGTTAGTATAATTAAATTAATGGATCCCTAGGAAAAAACAATAACTATTGCCATTGTCTCGTGGAAAGAAATTCACTCGGGTAAACTTGCATCTAAAATCAACCAAAGTTTTTTACCCACTACTAATTCCTTACCACCATTACAGCAATCTGAAAAAATTGAAACTGATTCTGCAGTGACAAAAGAAATAGCCTGGAAGAAGTTTATTCGAAGCTTGGTAACCTAAAACGTGGTATAGCCTCAGATAACATCCCAAGTTGGAACTTTTAAATGAAGATTTCGCCATGGAACTGTCTACTCCAGTTGGTGATATTTTTAAAGCGTCAATCCAAGAAAGCTTAATTTGTCCCAGATTTATGGAAAGAAGCAAATGTTATTCCAATCCCACAGTCATATATAGATGATTTATGACCAATAGGCCTATCTCTTAAGCCGATTCTTTCCAAAACTGTAGAACTTTTGTCGTTGAATGGATTATGTTACAAATTAGATATCGTATCGACAGAAAGCAATTTGGATCACCCTCTGATTTATCTACCATATAATGCCCACAAATCCTCCGATTAGATTTTAATAAAACTTTTGATAGCATTGATCATAACATTCTTTTGACCAAAATGAATCAGATGGGTATTGATAGCGTATTAATTGTAGCTTTCTTTCCGGAGAGAAACAGCGGGTGAACGGTGAAGAACGGAAATTTCATTTCCAGTTTTGAAGCAGTAAACGGGGGCGTTCCCCAGGGCACGCTCCTTGGACCGATCTTATTCTTAATAATGATCAACGACCTTCTGGAGTGCGGAGACACATGGACATATGTCGATGATTCGTTTTGCAGTCTACTTTGAACGACATTAAACATTGGTGTGTACGTAATAATGTCATTAAACCCGCGCAAGTTCATGCAACGAGATCCTAGTCTGTTTTGAAGAATTAAGCCACATTTTCCACCTTTGACTGTGGATCGGCAACCTACAGACTTGGTACAATCACGGAAATTACTTGGTATGACATTTAGTGACTACCTGAAGTGGAACGGACACGTGACTTATATTGTGAAAAAGGCATCAAAACGACTTTATATGTTACAACTTTTGAAACGAGCTGGTGCTGACGCTAGAACATTATTAATGAATACGTCACATGTGTGCTACCAATTTTAGAGTACTGTTCCTGGATATTTAAAGAATCACAGTCAACCGTGATGCTTCACGCGCTATGTAAATGTTTACATATATACGGATGCTAAAAATAGTGTTGTCTTCGAAAATAGTCATATACTAAAAATGATATGCATTAGCTTTATTATAAACAAAACAACTTTAATACATTTTCCAACTGGCGTTTTGACGAAATCCTGATTCCAGCCCCATCGCCTGCTACGTTCACGCAGTTCGTTCATGCTTTGATGGAGCAGGATTTCGGCGAACTCGCTATGCGAAGCCCTCGTATTCCCAAGCTTTCTTTCCTTTCCGTCTAAAGGACGGTTGTTCAAGCATCGTTGAACTTGTCAACGATATTCTTTTTAATATACCCTCACCTGTTGGTCTTCCACGAACAGGAAACACAGAAGCCATAATTAGCCATCTACTTTACAAAATGAGAAAACTTTCTAAAAT